ACCCAGACCCAAGCCTGAAGACACTGCTGCTTTGAGGAGACAGTGGCAGCATATCTCCCACATCCAGAGGAATGTGCAGAAGACAGCAGAAAGAGATGAAAGCATGTTGATCAACACCCAGGACCACCTGAAATCCAAAAGGATGTGGGAAGCATTATCGCTGAATATCGAGGCCATCAGGCTGGAGCTGGAGGACTGCTGAGTGGAGCAGGCAACAACAGGTACACAGAAATAAATTACTCACTCAGAAAAAGGTCAGCCACACTTGATTTGCCAGAGCAAATTAGTGGTGAGCGTGCAAGCTGTTACACGCAGCAGTGACCACTTTCAGATGATTTGTTTTGGGGCCACCGTGAATCTCCCTTCTTGGAAACTCTTGCCCTGAGAGCTTTCAGCCAGCAGCATCTCACCCTGAGGAGGGTTGGAGGGGAAGGAGGCAAGGGCCTTTACTGGCAGGCAAGGCTGGTCAAAAAATGGAAAATTTAGTGAAATCAAAAACATTAGGATTTTTTTTTTTGCAAAACTTCCTGTTAGTATTGTTTGCTTTCTCACAGAGAAAAGAAAAATGCTGGGATTTCAGAAGGAAAAAAAACCCAAACTTTTTCACTTTCAATGCTTCATTTTCTACCAAATCTAGAAGTGGAAATTGGCAAGGATGGCTTCATGAAAATAGATTGAATGAAGATTCATCTTGGAAGGAATAAAATAGGTAATTTCTAAACACATTCAGGGAAAAGTGGGATGATTTTCCACAAATGTTTTGTCATGCTGTGTTGTATGTCTCTCTCAGTTTGCATAGAGGGTCATTCCATGAGTACCTATCTAGGACACCCTTTGGTAACAACATCCTCTCAGCAGAATTGTCCTGGGACAGCTCAGATAACAGAACAAAACATTTCTTCTTCTAAAAACAGCTCTCAGGCAGTCTCTGGGCACTCTCAATCTGATTATTTAAGTGGAGTTTGAGTACAAGATGTGATTTGGTCATTACAAACTCCCACCCTTAAATAAATTTACATTGGTGTTTCACAGGAATGTTTACTCCTGCTTCCCTGAGTTCCAGAAATTAAACAAATGGGTTTTGCTTAATTAAAAGCACTCTGCAGGGGTGCTTCCTTAGCTGGGAGATGGGAGATGAGGAAAGGAAACAAATGGGGGGAAATGAGATGTATTTCTTCTTCTCTTGGAACTGCAGATCTGTGTCAGGATCTCCCATTCCACAATTTTTTTTAATACATGGGGTTGTTTGGCTTTAGAGTTAAAAATCCATAAAGCAAACAAATTCATTTTAAGTTTCCCATATGGATCTCAAAAAGAACAAGATATTCCTTTGTACTGCAGCGCAGTTGGGAGTCTTCCATTATTTCTTTTGTTTTTCCCCCCACATTTTTCTTTCTCTGCTCTGGCAGGGTGAGATGTGTTTCTGAAGGGTGTTATACCTCTCTCTCCTAAGCAGGACTTTCTGTTCCATGGCAGAGAGCAATCCCAGTAGAGAGGGGTCAGGACATTTAGGGACAAGGGTAATGTACATGCTGTACTCATGGAAGAGTGCTCTCCAGAATCCTGGATCCTGAAGGCATGGGAGCCCTTACAACTCCATCATTTCCAAGGCAGGTTCATGTGATTCATGCCAGTGGCGCTAAGGTGAATGTAAGGTAAAGAAAGACGTGGTGGTACAAGCCTGAGATCCAACTTTCCTTTGTCTCTTCCAGCAGGCAGTTTTGCACAAGGAAGAGTACAGCATGCAGGGTGAGTCCTAAGTGGTGTTGCCTCAGAAGAACTCTTCTGAAAATCAGTAGTTACAGGAATTCCTGAGCCAGGAGATGCTTCTGGGTGACTGTGTTTAATAACCATCAAAGAAACCAGTTATAGCTACCACAACACCTCATCAAGACATTCCACTGGAGCAATAATGAGCATTTTTTGCCAAGATCCAGAGAGCTCTTAGTGCTGTCATTTTAACTACATTTTTATACTTGACAGTTTTCAAAACACTATAAAATTATACAAGAATGAACTGAATGCTGTTCTGCCTATGTTGGATTGTGAGCTGGAGCTGAATTTGGTGTTTCAGCTTAGCCTCTGTATTGCTAGAGAGATAAATACTCCCATCACCCTGGTGGTGAGCAAAAAATCTTCCCATTCATAAAGGAAATTGAGAAAACAACTCTCAGCTCTGATATTATTTATAAGATGAAAATATTTCCTAGTCTTATGAAATAATGTGTGAAGCTATTTTCATAGAAAACTTTTGCAGAGCATCTCAGTGCTAAATTCTGTGACCAAAAAAAGGTTTCTTGGTGTTTCTGAACTGCTTTTCCTAAATCTAGGTAGTATATAGGATTTTTCACTGATCTTAGACACTTAGTTGGCTCCAAACACATGGCAAGTCACAGTGTTCTGGAGCCAAATGGTGTTCCTAGAGCTACTCCTGGTACCGAGCTTACCCCTTCATATGGAAGCAAAGGTTACTGTAGAGCATTCCCCTTATGAAAACGTTCCTAGAGTGATGGAAGAGGGAAAAGTTTAAACAGCTGTTGAGAAAAGAGGGTTATGCAGGAGTGAAATATTTCACATAATAAGCAAAACTTAAGAAGTAAGCCAAACACCAGGAATAACAAAACAACAGAAAGAAAAGCAGAAATATTTTGAAATACATCGGTACATCCTCATAGAGATGCCCTTTAATCAAACTAGTGCCATTGGATTTGCTCTCTCATCACCATTTAAGGAGCTCCTTGCATTTTCTGTGTATCATTGTGACATTGATCCTGGTGTGTAATGAGTATTTTTGTTTTCTTTTAGTGAAAATTTCCAACCCCCAGCTTGGTTTCTATAGCCATGTTCTTGTAACCATTCTTGAGAGGGTGCCTGATATTGTTCCACTTATTAATTAATGACATGTGTTGTGACTTTTTCTGATGTAAACATTAGCCAGTCTTTCATTAGGTTTTTAATAAACTTGTCCACCACCACATACATTAAAATGAAGAATTATCAATGACCCCTTTTGCAAGTCATTAACGATGACACGCAATTTGGCTGATGAATCATGAGTTTGCTGTACATTTAGGCTATGTTTGTGTCCATCTCAGTGGAGTCTGTCCCCTTCTCCATGGTAACTGCTCTGCCTCTGACATCACTAGCCAAAATAGAGCATGGAGGTTATAAAATCCTGAGGGGGTGTGGGTGGGGAAGAGTAGAGACAGAGAGAATGAAAATACAAGTCAGGAAAGGAAACTTCCTTAACACTTCAGTCGCCGGACAGTGCCCCATGCAGGCAAAAGACATCTGAAATCTGAGAAATGGGGATATCAGGATTCCAGAGCTTGAGATTTGTGTGAGTTTATTGAAACAAATGGGAAAGCAAAACACTCTGTGACTTCTTTTTGGACAGAGTCATGAAGCACTTTATCCATATAATTTTCTTTTTTGGCATCAAGAATCTTCTTCATCACATGGAGGGTAACAAGCCTGATGTTGGGAGTCAAAAAAGCTCTCTGAGCTTATTGAGCCACAAGAGCAGGAATTGCAGAATAAGTGTACTAAAAACAAATGCCAGTACCACTCAATCTTTATCACAACTTTTATCTGTGGCCTGGGATGTTGCTTTTCTCAAACCCAGATGCCAGAAGCCATGAACTAGATGACAAAAAAATTAAAAGGAGAGGAGAGGGGAGAGGGGAGAGGGGAGAGGGGAGAGGGGAGAGGGGAGAGGGGAGAGGGGAGAGGGGAGAGGGGAGAGGGGAGAGGGGAGAGGGGAGAGGGGAGAGGGGAGAGGGGAGAGGGGAGAGGGGAGAGGGGAGAGGGGAGAGGGGAGAGGGGAGAGGGGAGAAGAGAAGAGAAGAGAAGAGAAGAGAAGAGAAGAGAAGAGAAGAGAAGAGAAGAGAAGAGAGGAGAGGAGAGGAGAGGAGAGGAGAGGAGAGGAGAGGAGAGGAGAGGAGAGGAGAGGAGAGGAGAGGAGAGGAGAGGAGAGGAGAGGAGAGGAGAGGAGAGGAGAGGAGAGGAGAGGAGAGGAGAGGAGAGGAGAGGAGAGGAGAGGAGAGGAGAGGAGAGGAGAGGAGAGGAGAGGAGAGGAGAGGAGAGGAGAGGAGAGGAGAGGAGAGGAGAGGAGAGGAGAGGAGAGGAGAGGAGAGGAGAGGAGAGGAGAGGAGAGGAGAGGAGAGGAGAGGAGAGGAGAGGAGAGGAGAGGAGAGGAGAGGAGAGGAGAGGAGAGGAGAGGAGAGGAGAGGAGAGGAGAGGAGAGGAGAGGAGAGGAGAGGAGAGGAGAGGAGAGGAGAGGAGAGGAGAGGAGAGGAGAGGAGAGGAGAGGAGAGGAGAGGAGAGAAGAGAAGAGAAGAGAAGAGAAGAGAAGAGAAGAGAAGAGAAGAGAAGAGAAGAGAAGAGAAGAGAAGAGAAGAGAAGAGAAGAGAAGAGAGAGAAGAGACTTTTTGCGTTAAAAGAGACAAATATAACAAAAAAGACCAGCATGGAAATTCAAAACCAGAAGGGAAAAACAACGAACCCAAGGTTTCTCAGCCATTAACATCTCATAGTTCAAAGTATAACGGGGAACTTCCTAGGCCCCAGTTTAGTGTTCTGGAGCCATCAGTACAGCAATTTGGATGCCACTGGAGCACTTGATTGCTTAGAAGGTGTGCTGTGGGGTTGGGGGAGACAGTGGGCATGGGGAAAGGTCAAGAGAATGGGAGGAGGTGTAGGCTGATCTCTGTCCCTTTGGACAGAACTGCTGGTCTTGGGAGGGTTAAATGTTTCCAGGGGAATGGAAACTCAGCTCGAGCCTTGTCAGAGCTCTGACGTGACAACACATATAAAATAAACACCAGTGGAGCGTTAAAATAAAGCATACACACCAGGCCTGTGTAATGTCCATTGCAGGGACCATTTTAGATCACTTCACAAAGCTATTATCCCTTTTTGACTTGTATTTTTAGCCAGTTTTAAACGTCCTGAGGACTGCTTTATTTAGGAAAAAAAAAAACGAATAATGGAGCCATGTATTTTCTTATTGAGCCGTTCTTTATTTACACTGAAGGTATATGAAACCCTCTTTCTTTGAACAAAACAGGAATGAAACAGCAGGAAACAGTTTTTTTGTTCACAACTCTGAGGCAGCATTTAGTCCCAAAACCTTTTTCTTTATGTTCTGTCATTCCTATGTTTTCCCTTTCTCAGTGCCAACATTTTTTCCCCACTCATAAACCAGATGTAGCAGAGGTTTTGTTTGTTTTTACTGTAATAAAATGTCTTCTAGGAAATTCAGAAAGCAAGTTGTGCAGTGAACAGCAGAAAGAATGTGAGTTCCTGTAAATTTGTACCCACTGTCCCTATCTCTATATCCACTCTAGAGCCCAAACAACACAGTGATCATGTGTCTGATCTCCATTTGCAGTTTGGCTTGACTGCATACTGAACAGGAAAAATAACTGTTAAATTTATGCTGTGGCCTCCCCCTCAGCACATTTCCAGCTTGAATATCTTCACTTTGTCATTGGTTTTCATGCAACTTGTAAGACTTTTTTATGTTTGAGGCTTTCACTCTAGAAACTAGGGAGACTGATGGCCAGACTGGGTTGTCACATGTCTTATTTCCTTGGGACAGCGAGATGAAAAACAATAAATAAATCCACTCTCTTTTTTTTTATTATTTCAATAAAATAAAGAAAGAAAGACGCAAACAAAAAAATGAGTGAAGCAGAGAGGAAGGGAGGGAGAAGTATGGTGAACAAAGGAAAAACTACATTTTAAGATAATGTGAGAGGGGAAAAGAAGACAAGTAATGAGAAAAAACAGATAAAGACTCAAAAGTAATCTACAGATAATTTAGGTAAGGGAATTTTACGCTGGTTATTTTATAAAATGAATTTAAACTGTCTTGCAAATAAGGTGCAATTAAATCATATTCCTCTATTAAAGACAAACATAAAAGGATAAGAAAATTTAGTTATGCCATCTGCAGAAACAGCTGTCAAATATCAGCTGTTTTTGTTTATTTTGTTGAATCTGAGTTTGGACCATCGAATGTATGCACACCATATACATTAAATTATATTAAGAGGATGGGTGACATGATTTGGTTCTTTGCCATGATGGTTTTAGCCAGGTGCTTAAACATACATGTTCCAAAGTGCTTTTGGCTGCAAGGATGGATATTACACTGTAGCTGAGGTTTGGATTGGTGTCCAGCAGGACCCAGGGCAGTGGCAGGAGGCTGTGGAAGTGAGGCAGGAGGTCCCGGCCTGGGTTCGTAGCTAAGCCCCAGCTCCATGGGCTGCAGGGCCAAGGAACTTCCAATCACTACTTTGGCCCCTCTTGCCCCTTCGACAAGAGGGCCATGATCACGCAGAGTATCTGCTGCCACATGACTTCAGAACCAAGGCAGGCAGGTACAGTGTGGCCAACCACCCTCCCAGCCTCCTGCCCTAATCCATGCAGTGAGGAGCATCCCTTCCTGCCTCTGTCCCTCACTGTCCTCCCTCTGACATGGTGGATGGCCCTGTGTCACCCTCTGATGGAAACACCCTGCTTCCTTCATGGTCATGCACCTGTGAGACAAAGGCTGCACTGGCACTGGCAAGGATGTGCAGAGGTGGTGCAGGTGGTCGCTGGTGGTGCCCACATGGGACAATGTCTTCTCTTGCTCCTAAGCCCAGGGGAGAACCTGGCAGAGAGCAGGAAGGGGAATGCAAGCAACCACCATGGGGTGATTCAGATGTGAGCAAGGCAAGCCCAGAGGCGCAGACATTAGCTCAGGGGTGATGAAGAAATGTCACCATCCCTTTCCACACCACTGTGTTTCACAGGTGGGCAAATGCTACAAATGCCAAGTGTAGAACTCCTGTCTCATCTTCTCCTCCATCTTGCACTTTCACCACGCTGAGCTGGAACTACTCTGTGGGCTCAGAAAGCTGCACCTAGCAAAGAGTAATGGAGCATACCGGTGTTTTTAAATTAGTGAAAAGGAATGGCACAGGTGACAAGAATCAGCCCAAGAGCCCAGCCCCTGTTTACTCTGCAGCCGGATTCAGCTAAAGGAGCAGAGAGGGTTTATGGGTGCACCTCCAGGAGTGAGCAGGCAGGCTGGCTACCCTTTTAAGGTACAGATGGAGCTCTTTTTTCTAGACTGATCAGGGAGTTTTGCTGCCCATTTCAGATGAAGGGCAGAGAATGTTTTGCTCTTTGGGTTCAACTTTTCTATTACTCTTCTGTGTTTCAGATAAAGCATTTTTCAGGATGCTCAATTTTGTGCTGACATGGCTGGTACATTCATTGGTACAGAGCTTCCTGGAGGCCTGAGGAGCTTCATCAGGTCCCCATGTCCCACGAGAGCTCCCAGAGAGGGAGCTTCCAACTGCTGCCTAAATTGTCAGTCTCTTTGTTGTCCTGGGGTAAGTTGCAGCTATGTCAAGTGATGAGTGTAGGTTTTCTTTAGCCATGTGACAATGAATAAGCCCTGCCTGTGTGATTCAGATCGTGCAGATGCTGTGTGATCTGAGCAAGGATGCAGGGGCTGATGCGTAGGTTGGAAGAACATGGAAGAACCTACAAACTGGTGTCCTCCTTATCAGGCAGGGAGGCTGGTGCTGGTTAAAACACTGTTTGTTTTCTCCAGAAGTGGTTTTCTTGTCATACTGCCTGTGCCCTGAAGTTTGATTAAGGAGATGATTCAGGTTTCACAGTGTTCGCGTTTGATTTCAGCACTGTGGGCCAGGCGAGAAAGATGGGGTGGGTCCTGACTGAGTCCTACAGGATTCAGATCTAATAAGGAAATTACAAGGAAGGCAGTGAAATTATCTCAACTGTGAAGTTTAGAGATTCCCTGGTGATTTTTGGCAGCTGTACTCAATCATCCCCTGTAGCAACAGACACACTTTTGAGCATGGTGTGGAAATGGTGCTGCTGCCTGGCTGTGACGAACACTCCTTGCTATGGAGGGCCAAGAGCTGTTTGGCTGTGGGGAAGGTGCTTTGGGGAGCAGGGGACATCTGCCTGCTATAGGCAGAGGATGTGATACAGCAGGATAGCGTGGCTCCCTGCCATTGGACCCAAGTTGTAACTATTACTGCAGATAATTACAGGTGTTTCAAGTTTGTCAGTGTGCTTTTTCCAGAACTGTGTGTCTTAGCACATTTCAAAAGAAGCAAGCAACCCACAATAAGCATGCTAATTAGCAAGTGGCAGTGATGAGAGACACCAAAGAAATGCTGGAGGAAAAGAAATGCCACAAATGGTTCACAGGGTTGCACATTTCGGCTCTGAGCCAGATTCAGACCCTGCAGTCAGACTCCTGGCTTAGTGGCAGGGCATTTCAAGCCTTTGAAGTCCCATTTCCTGCTGACACCTTTGTGTGGTGAAGATGAGCCCACACTGCAATCCCTGATGTGCAGAATGGGATGCAGATGGGATAGCACAAGTCTCTGCTGTGACAGAGCAGAGCAGTGACAGCCTGCAAGCCCTGGGGTGGGCAGGCACCGGCTGGGGACGTGGCACCCGGGGTATGGCTGTGGCTCTGGCTGCTGCTGCTGCCCTTTGTCACCCTTGCTTTGAGCATCAATGCCCTTGGTCAAGCCAGGTCAGGCACCTGCCCTGCACAGCAGGTCCCAACCTGCCTCCTTGGAATGCCAGGATGCTGCTACTACTGGCTGGAGGAAGTGGCACCACACTTTAGAGATGAATCACAGAATCTTCTCTTTTAAGTTCCTATAAACCACTTAAAATCCATTCTCCTTTGCCTTCTTTTTCTGGGGTCTCTCCCAGGTGATTTCTCAGAATTTCCATGAAAATTAACTCACAGCATAATGGAAACAGAATTAAAAAATACATCCCACCTTTTCTCTTGATGACTGAAGACTGAAGCTTTTTAAAGGTGTCATGATGGATGAGTGAGGAAGATCATTTCCATTTTAATTTCAACTTCAATGGAGTGGGTCACTCACTTCCTTTTCTGAGTGAGGCATTGTGCTGAAAGCTGCTACCTCTAGGCTTGGCTGCATTAAAAGTGCATTACATTAACTTCAAATCTCTTCACATTATATTTAAACTCTAGGTGTGCCTACTGGGTGGATTTTCAAAGGCTACTGTTAGCCCAGCAAAGACAATCTGTCTTTGGGAGCTGCCCCTGTTGCCAAAGATGAAAGAAGCTGTACAAAATTCGTTTAAAATGGTAGAAATCAAGACCATGGCTTGGACTGAGTGAAAGAGGAACCTTCTTAGTGTGTCTTTTCATTGGGATAAATACTGGAGAGGTAGAGGGGATTGTTTGGGTCAAACTGAAGTAGAAAGTTTTCCCCAAAATAAAATAGTGAAAACCTGAAAGTAAAGGTGTTTCAGGTCATCCTGAGACCTTTTTGCTCAGGCCAACAGAAAACATTGTCTTCTGAATCTTCTGCAATTTTTTTTTTTAATACATAACTGCTAATCAGCTATCAAAATACACTGTTTTGGAATCCGGTGATTGGAATGCTGTTTGAAAATCTGAAGTCAGAAAATCTTTGATGTGATTTAGGCTTTTCCAAAACGGAACATCTCATTTTGCACATGTCTAAGTGACATTGCATGGCATTTTCAAAATTCCTCCTTCTCTTCACAACTTTTTTTTTTTTTCCCAGCCAAAATTATTTGTTGATTTTGATCCAGTTTTGCAAGTTGTTCCATTTAGTGCTTGTCAAAACATCTTCCAGCTGATCTAGCTGTGCTGGGGTGAGAGGGCAGTAGACAGGGGATGCAGCAAGGGCTGTGTGAGGTAGGAACAGACGACAGAGGTGGGAATGGTTGAGCAGGGGCACAGCTGCTTCTGGCCACCATCCTTGTTGTAGATGGATAAACTCAGCAAATGGGATATCACAACCACTCAGGGAACAAGTGGGAGGAAAACCTGGAGTGCAGAAGGCTCCAGGAGAAGAGCTGAGGGGAGAGAGAGAAAGAGTTAATTGAAACAACCAAAATAAACCATTAAAGTATTCTCTGGTGACAGTAAAGCCACACTAATTCATCATAGCCCAGTAAGGAACTGAATGCAACAAAAGTGATTTAAAGCAGACCCAGAGTCTATGCAGATGGGCATGCAGAGGGTTAAGCTCAGCCAGCTGAGCAACGTGGCTTTGTCTGAAGCCTGGCCCAAAAGGGAATGGGGAGAGGGTGAAGTCCAAAACAATGGCTCAAATGTTTTGCCCATTAGACTGCCAGCAGACTGTGAGCTCTTAATCTCACTTGCTATAAAGCAGGCTGTGTTTGCATTGCTGTGCCTGTGGTGGCTACAGAAGCCAAGCCCCTCAGTGCCCAGACACACCCTGGAGTGGGAGAGGGGAGGCACGGTCTACTCCCTGTGGTTCCATGTGAGCAACACACTGAAAACACGGACCATACCCCTCAAATTCCCTTCTGCCCTTAGCTAACACCCTGCTTCTGAGTTCAGACACTGGCTGGGTTTCTTCACAGCCCAGGGCTTGAGCCAGCTCCCTGTGGCCAGGTGGCAGTGCCAGGCCCACGGCACAGACAGAGCTGAACTGTGAAAGAGAACAGGGGCTGCCTCTGTGGGCAGCAAAGGAAAACTGAGACAGGTGTGCACTAAAATACAAAGATCAGGAAATCTAGGAAAGGGATTCAGGAAACAACATCTTAAAAACTTGCAGTCAGTTTTCCCCTCTTCCCTTTTTAATGGTGCCTGGTTGCAGAAGTAGAGTGCCAGTGTAGCACTAGAGGAGTGTCATTAAACTGTGTGTTCTACTCCTCTCTAGGTCATTTCTGATGAACTATTGATGATGGATGGTTTGAAAGAGCTGCCCAGTGCACACCTGACACCTCAGGCTACAGACTGAGTGTTAAATGAGATAAGGAAAAAGAGGCAAATTCTGCAAGGTAGGGTAGTGTTTCTTTTTCTTCACAAATAGCTCAGCTGTGATAGTTCCCTCTGGAGGAAGCACCAGTGCAGTTACACACATCCTAAGGGGATCATCTCTTCTAAAGGGCCATAATGAACTCAAGGACACCACCAGAATAGACAGCTGCAAGCACTAGGACCATGAAGGACTCCCAAAGTACCCCATGACTTACAGGATTACATCATTCCCCTGTGAGACTCCCTGCCCTGGAGGAGGTGCTGTGCATTCCCACCTGAAATGAGTTTATATAATCTCTGGGTTTGCAGGCCTGGGACACTAGCATCAGCACTACTCCTCAGTAGATCTGGAGGAGGACTAGAAATTTCACAGGGCCATTGCTTTCAACAGGACTGCAACCACTATTTGGTAGGACTGTGGCCACCACCCTGATGAACAAGTGGTACTCTGACTTGGTGAGTTTAAGTCAGTTTTTCTCTGTATTGTTGCATTTATTGTAATCTCTCTAGTACATTGTTACTCTGACCTGAAGTCTCTCAAGGTAATTGAGTGGGGTACATTTCTCCTGCCAGTTTATTTTCAAACCAGAACAAATTGCTATCCATCTCTCTAACGCTGTCCAGGGACAGAAGCATCTTGTGGAGGTACACAGCACTGAGATGTCACAGCAGTTTGAGCCAAGCAGATATTCTGAGCCCATGGGGATCTGTGTTCCTCCTATTATTTACCTCTTGGGCTGGCTTCCATGGTAAACTACTACAGACTTGTTTCTGTTCATGTCTCTGTTTTTCTGTGACATTTAAAGAGCAGAGACATCCATGGGAAGGAGTACTCACCCACAGGACTGCAAGAAGCCCATATATTTTAAATATTCCTCAAGGATACAGAAGATATCTAGGGATAAAGGAAGCCTGGCACATTTGGAGTTTTTTCAAGCTGTGGTGGTGGGAGGTATAACAATAGAGGCTGGTGATTAAAATGTGAAACTCAGATTGCCTCACTCTTCCTTGCAGCAGACCAGGTGTCCAATACCTTGTGTGTAGGACACAATACTCTGGCTATTTCCTTCCCCAAAGCTCTCCTGGGCCAGATGGAGCTGAATGTCCTGAGTGTCTTCTGGTCTGTGGTGCCTGGGTGGGAGAGGCACTGCAGTACCACACTGCCACAGGAAGGACACCAGCCTCCACAGCTGCTGTGTCCCGCTGCAGCCACTTCCCCATCCTCCCTGATATGCTGGATATGTCTGTCATCACATAACTGGATTGCTCTAGCATTGCACAGGAGGATGCTTTAGAGATCTGGGCAAGGAACATAGGGGAATTTTCAGAAAGGTGAGGGAACAAATAGTTCTCATTTCTCCAGAGCTAATTGGAGAGAGTTATTGCAAGCTCTTGTTTCTCCTCTACATAGAGGAATAACTGTAGATCATCAGCTAGAGTAAGTCAGCATTGCTACTCACACACACAGCAAGTTGTTCTCATGCTCTCTCCTCTGTCACTAAACTGAGAGCGTCCTTCTCAGTTCAACATGAGCTCAAAATCCTTAAATCCCTGATGTTGCCATTGATCCAGTCACTCTCTCTGGCTTTGGCTGTGTCCTATATACTCTGCCTTTAGTTCCCTATTTCTCATGGGTGTCTTTTCTTTTTATGAATGCTTTTCCAGTGAAAGCAACAAAACAGGTAGAGAGCTCTTGGGTATGATTCCACAGTAAGGGCCACACCATGTTCAAGTCTTTGCTCTAAGGTCCTCAGGCCATGAAAATGGGGTTAATAAAATAAGCATCTAAGCTCTCCTATCTTTTAACCCATTAAAATTATTTCCTTGTAAAAATATCAACTAGTAACATATGAAGTCCAGTACTAGGGAATGTCAGAGACTCTCAACACCTTCATGCAGTTTCCACCACAGCCTACAAGTATTTAAGTGTGGTTCTGTCCTGCCTGAGTGGTGCAGGCAGAGGGAGGAGGCTCCCTCAAGCAGCAGCTGGAATGAGGAGTCAGGCTGTGCAGAGGCTGGTTTTGTACAAGGCTGATCTCTGAAGCAGAAGGAAGCAGCTCTTGGCTTAGGGTGACCATAGAACAAAGTTGCCTCAGTAGGATAAGGGGACAGTATAGACCATGGCCTAACCAACAATTGCTTGGAAATGTAGAATCGATGAAGGATTAGATAGCACTGTGTTCTGTATTTACAGGCAGGGAAAAAAATGCTGACAGAAACATGTTAAAATGAAATATATAAGCAATGTATTTTTAATCAAAGTCTAAAGATCTGGTGAAACATGTATAAAGGTTTTCATTCTAACAAAAGAGAGCTGCACTCTAGGTTAGCTGATTCTTTGTCTAATCCCTTCGTTTAAATTCACAAAAGCACTTTGTGTCATGGCAGCAGCTGCAGGCACGTAAGACCAGCACTGCCATGGATCCAGGGTATCACTTTCAGTAAAGGAGAACAGTCACAATCCCCAGCAGCATCTCATGGTTACTCTGACACACATTGGACTCCTTGGGTTGCAAATTTGACTCACTAATTTGGAGGAAAATCAGTTCAACCACAAAATAAAAATGGTAAGTCTGTACCAAGGTACTGAGTTGATCTGAGCTCTAGCATGGGAAGAACAAGGACTTGTGAACGGGCTGGTTTGGTTCAGAAGAGGATGAGGTGAGGGCACTATAAAGATCACAGGGATCTCTGGAACACAAATTTTAGGGGGAAGATGAGTGATCAGAGGGCATATTGTACAAGAGGTTTGATTGCAGTCAACATCTCTATCCAGGATTCTCATGTATATCCTTCATATTCTCATGTATATGAAGGATATATGTTTAAGGCCCCCTTCCCATCTCCACACAAGGCTTCTGCTCTAGTTCACATTCCTTCTACCTCAGCATATGGTACGTGGCTTTGAGTTATTCTGCCTAACTTGGCTGTATCCCTTCCACATGTATCCTTGACCATCCTGGGATATTTTTGCTGCCATCAGTGAATATTAAACCCTATTTTCAATGTCAGACTGAAGGGATTTTTCTGTCAGACACAGACTTATTACTTCTTGTTGGCATGGTGCTTTCCATTCCTCTTACCTGGGCTTCTGCTTGACACTCTCACTTTACTCAGGCTAACAAAGAAACGGCTCCACTGACATATTGTGTAGAGCCATCAGACCTAAACTTCCCAAACAGAAAGGTTTGGGGTGGTTTCACAAGCTTTTAGAATCGAAGAACCAACTTTACATTCTGGAGGGACTCCAAGCACAACTTATGCTCTGTCTCCGAGGAGGTTTTAATTCACAAGCCAGTAACAAGTAATCCATTAGAAATAAATCTACTAATTCAGTCAATTCCATCTACATATATATATCTCCCAACACCTACATCAGAAGAATGCTGAGAGAGTAAGGTAGGAAACAAGGGGTATTGCAGACATTTTCCTGGTCACAATCTGAGGTAGCTCAACAAACTTCTGATGATACCATTCTTTAGGGGAGGTTTCTCTCCTTTGCTCTGATGCCATGGGTAGTCAAGATGCAAGAGGTATGGAGGGAGCAATGTTGGGGCAGTGCTGTGCTCCCCTTGGCATGACTTTTGCTTTTTTGGTATCCCTGGAGCTCCAGGCTTTGTGGTTTTTTTTAATCTTATCCCTCTTCCAAACCCTAATTGCAGCCTTTGGCTGAGACTCATGTGGCCATCACCACAGATTGTCCAGATGAAAAAGCTGTGTGACAGCTACCATTTCCCCTCCCTTCCTTCCTGATGGGACTAGGGCTCATTTGACCCCTTCAGGACACTGGTTTAGAGAGAAAAACCTCTTGAGAATTTTTTCTTTTACCTAACCCTGTTATCTGATTCACTGCAGGTACAGAAAATCATCAGTATCAGGGTGAGGGAGGGAATTAGGGGACCTGGCTGTGGACATTGTGCAGGACAAACCTACCAGAGACAAAATGGCCATTGGATTTGGAAACACTTCAGACATTTCAGACCATAATGGTCCAGCAGGTGGGGAATGCTTGCCAGGATGTTGATGCTGTCTAGATGCTGAACTGCTGGTATCTTCTGCTCACGTA